GGCACCATCAGCTTTATTCACCACATTTGCTTATGCACCTATTTTGTCTTCAGTAATTATGTCGGGAAGGTGAGCATTACAGAATGCCGGATTATTAGAACAAAGTGTTCTCAAGGCCCAATGTCCATTTGCTATCTTAATACTTAACATAAAAATATACGTACATAGATCTATGTCCCTATTGTTATATATAAATATATTTACATGTGTATATGCCTGTATTTAGACCTTTATAAATGTCCTTTGCCTCCTAGTTCTTTCCTCTATTTCCTTTTACTTTCCCTCTTGTCCCACTATCATGTTCAACCTACATCTTTCTCTCCATTTATTATAGTTCACTTTTTCCCTTGCCTCTAAGTTGGCTGACCCGGCCCCCCTTCCTTTATCCCACCTCCCCTTCTCCCATGTACCCAGGAACCATTGAACCTGTTGTTTTCTTCTCCAAATTGTTTATCCAGCCTATTTTATCTAGATAAACAGAGACATTAATAAGCGCAAAAATAAGGCAAAGCCAAACAAAAAACAAAGGGAGACAAAACCAACAAAGCACAACAAAACAACAAAACAAAAACAAATACAAAATAACAACAAAAAGAAAGCCAATGACAAAAAAGGAAAAGCCTATACATGGTTCCAGGTCTCTGTTGACCTTTAGGAGTGTTTTCCAGTCGATTCTGATGGGGTGCCACACTCTGTCCCCAAAGTCTATTTTTGGTACTCCCTGGGGACTTCTTTGCTTTGCTCCCCTTGCTGTTGCACGCCCTTAGTGTTCCTCCAGGTGTGGTGGGGTCAGACTGGGCACAATTCCCACACTGTGTCTCCAGTGCTGTGCCCCGTAGTGCTGTGGGTCAGTGAGGGGTGTCGCATCTCGTGTTGGGGCTGGCCTGTGGTCCTCTCTGTGCACAGTTCTTTCTGGTGTGAGGGGGCTGCTATGAGTTGGATTGACTTTATGGCAAACCCCACCCCTTTTTTTTTTTGGACTGGGCTTCAGCCATGCTGCTGGGCTCTAAGCTAACTGTGGATTTATTTATTGCATTCACATAACATGATATCACATAGACATCTACCGCTTATCTGATTAAGTAACTCCTGCATTTAGTCTTGCAGACTAAGCTATACATGCTTTGAGGGTTACAGCAGTGTTTCTGGGTCTTTTGTATTTTCCTTGGGGGCCTAATCAATACAGGACTCCCTTTCCATAAGAGCCCTCTGCAGGTGCTCATTTGTGGGCAGGCGTGGCTCTGTTGCAGACTGTACAGGGCTGAGATGGCTGTGTGCAGTGCCTGCAGGCTCCACGTGATGCTGGTCACCTAGATGCTACTCCTCCTGCTTCCCAGGGAGTACGGGCCAGAAGCTGAATGTCTGTTTCTTTGCGAATGAGGTCCTGTTTTCCTTCTTTCTTGTCTTTCTTACTCACCCTCTTACTTGCCGCCATCGAGCCCATGCTGACTCACAGCGACCTCCCTGTGGGATTCTGAGACTGTTAACTGTTGACAGGAGTA